CCGCCTCCGAGCGCCTCCCCTCCCCTCCCGTCGCTAGAGGGCGTGACCGGGCAAGGCCCGGCCAACGCCGGCGACAGCAAGGCTCTTCGGCCCCCTCGCGTGTGGATCTGATGCAGGCCGGATTTGACAGGCAAGGGCATCGTGATGTGGAGGGTTGCGGCGCCATGATCCGGTTTCCTAGCGGATGCCTCCATGTGATTATGTGGCCACCGCTAAGAGATGCTGCAAATTTGCAGCACTTGTAGCAAAATTTGGTCTTTGAAGAGCTAAAGCTATGGAAGAACCAATTCACCCACAGCGGTTGGATTATCTTGTTGAATAAAAACTCTCATTTTCCCCCAAAAAAGGGAGGTACTTTGAAGAGAAAAAAACAAAGAATATATCCAAAAATGGATTCAGCTGATCCACAGATATTCATGCAAGTCATTCCTCGGCGTATATATACGATCATACATATATACACCAGAACTAGTACATAGCTTTTCAGATCAATATGTCCAATCCACAAGTATATACTAGAGTTAATGTGTAAATTGTAACACAATGCAAAGGACAGATTATACAAACAAACTGCTTACAAACAACTCCATCGTAATATACAACAATGTGTAGATTATGTACTAGAAATCAACAGACCAAAAAAATTTAATCAATACAAATTGAATTGTTGGCCTCATCAATCAGTCAACAAAACTAAATAAATACTCCCCAAAGCACAGGGACCTTATTGTGGCAAGCTTCTTCTCCGTGGGTGGTCCGCCGCCGCTGGCTTGGGGTTCAAAGTTGAAGCATTGGTTTTAGGTTGAGCAAGCTTTTTCAGTCTCTCAATCAAGGATTCGGTTGTGCCGCCACTTTTCTCCTTTTTCATCTCAGCCAAGGATGAGGTTAACTTGCTCACTGCACTTGCTTTAGCTGCTGTTTTCTGGGGATTCGATGCGCCACTTCTTGCAGCAATCCTCTTTTCCCTCTCTTGCTTAAGCCTTTCCAGCCGTTTCATCTGCTCTGCTTCCTGAAAATATTTACAACAAAACATATTCATCAGCAATTCTGCCGATGCAAACAAATGACATTTTCCACCACATTATTTGCCCTACTACAAATATACGCCCTATTATTTGCTTGTAAGTAGTCATTTTGGTCTTTTAAAATATACACCAAAAGGATATAGATAATAGTACTATAGCACTCTCTTCTATATAGATTCAATTTGGTCATTTAAAATATGCGATGAGGATGTTAAAAAGGAGTACATTAAGTCATGTGGGGCATACATCACAGGGTATTACTGCAGAGCGAGTTAGGTCGCTGGGCAACACAATGCCCGACAACGGAGGCCAAAACAGCCGGCACCTTCTACCTTCTGTGGTACTTCTCTCGGCACTGGCTGGAAGGACGATCTACGTACCATGTGCTAGTGGATCATTGTGGAGCTCCTCACCATCCTGGCGGCCATAGTCTTGCGCTCAACTACCTGGTAACTTTATGAGGGTGATATGTACTCAATATATGAGGGCAATGCCTCCCTTTTG